GAGCCACTAGCTCTATAGTCATTCCTCACTCTTGTTACATTACAAATACATATATATTCCCCCCACATAGGAGCGAATGTAATTGAGGATGTTCACCAAAATTTATAGCTAGCATAATTCAAAAAGTTAGTATCACATGTTGCTCTAAATGAATTTTGTGGGTCAACCATGGGTAAAATCCAACTTTAAATGTATGCTAAAACTTTGGAATAAAATTAAATCTAGTTTCTTAAGATTTAGTAATGTTTAATCAAGTGACCATTTAATAGTGATCTGAATGTTCTCGTCATTTGAACCGACTTATTTTTCTTTAAATATTGAAAACTAACTCGCCATTGAAATCAAAGACCAACCAACTATTTTAATTATTTTGACTATGCATCTAGTTTTAAATGATTAGAAATTAGTGGGCCCATTAGACAAAGGTACAACAGCTTATAAAGAATTGTACAGCCTTACCTTTTCAGAGTATCATATTGTCCTTGATATGAACTTAAATTATTATGAAGGTTAAAATATAAAACCCATTTTCTTAGATTAATTAATGAAAATTGACACAAATAGCACTTGATGGTCTGTGACCCGACTTTTATAACTCAAAGATTCAAAATAAGAACAATAAAGAAAAGATCAAGAATTCAGAAGAACACCAAGATTTTTAGGTCAAATGCCTCAGAAATTCAGCGACTACCTCTAACATCTAATCTCTCATTGATCATCCGTTAAAATTAAGGTTGAATCCACTATGAAGTCGCAAAAATGGGTAAAGGTTCGATTACAATACGAACACTTGGGTTCACAAACCCTAATCCTTCAATCTCTCTCTCTCTCTCTCTCACACACACACAATAACTACTGATAAAGAAGGTATTGCCTTTATCTCTCTCACACAGAATTCAACTAGAATCATCCATAGGATGACCAAAATACAATTAGATAGCAGAATACATGAAGAAGAGAAAGAGACTGAATTGATATGAAACCCTAGGGGCACTCCCATGCCTATTTATATGATATAAGGCAATAGTGCTCGTCCAACGGTGCAAACGAATTCACGTTCCGTCGTCTAGACGAATTGAAATTTAATATAAAGATCATGTTTCAATAAAACACTTTTAACCAATCTAGAATGTCCAACCAATTTGATCACAATTTGAGCCGAGTATTTGACACTTCAAGGCCATGATAATTTGGGCTTCCAAATTTCAGCAACAAAGCCCACAATCTCCATCTTTATGTAATTTGGGACTCTACTAAATGTGATTCAGAACTTAATCAACAAACCTCACTTGCTTTTATTTACCTGTTTACAAAAAAAGAAAGTTAGTAGGAATATTCAAGATTCAATAATATCAAGGAATTATTGAATATATTTTGTGGTATTACCTTGGTGCGTGCATTAGCTGTATTTACTTAGTAGGTATTTTAGTCAATTTAATGTCACAAGATTGAGTTATGTCTCTAATGAATTGAAACTCATCATCTATACGTTTAGTCATGTCATATAAAATTGAATATACTTACAAAAATATCACTTTGATAATTAAAACAAAGCTCCACCTGATTTTCTATATAACCTAACTCATTTAGTAACCCCTTTAGCTAGAGACCTTCTTTAACTGACGTAGTAGCAGCTATATATTGTGGTAACTAATTTTCGAAGTTTTGATTTCCAACTAATGTATATATTATTTATCACATAAAAATATATAGTTGTTGATTTTCTATTATCAGCATTTTAAAGCAATATTAGAGTCAACGTACTCTTTTAGGTTAAAACTATTTTACCATTTTTGAACATAAGACCTAAGTTCTGAGTACCTTTCAATTATTTAATCAAATGTTTCATGGCTTTCCAAGGAAAGTCACCTGGATTAGTCGTGAATATGCTTAACACACTTACTGCATATGCAAGATCAGGTCTATAGCATACCATAACGTACATAACAGATTCAACTTCGTTAGCATAAGGAGCATTTACCATTCTCTTAAATTTATCTTCAATTTTAGGTGATTGATCAACAAAGATAATTTCACACACTGGCAAATATATGCAAGCTAACAAGCTTAGAATCATGTAGAGAGAATCTTTTAACTACCTTTCCAATATAAGATTCTCGTGTTAAAAAAAATAAAAAATAATAATCCTATCGCTTTTTATTTCAATGCCTAAAATTTTTCTAGTAGGTCTCAAATCTTTCATCTCAAATTTAGTTTTCAATTTCTCTTTTATAGACTTAAGAGTAACAGAATTGTGATTGGCTAGAAGCATATCATCCATGTATAAGAGCAAATACAAAAACCCAAAATTTCCATCTCTTTTGAAACAAAACAGGGATCATATTCAGATTTATTATACTTTAAGCCTTGGATGAAAGAATCAAATCTTTTGTACCATTGCCTTAGAACCTGTTTTAAGCCATGCAGAGATTTATTCAAAAGGCACATTAAGTTTTTCTTCTTTTTTTCAAAACGTTTTGGTTGAGTATATATATAGTTTCATCTTATGAACCCAATAAAATGCAATTTTCTCATCAAGTTGTTCTAATTCTAAGTCAAATTGTGTCACAAGAGCAAATGAAATTTCGATAGAAGTATATTTCACAATAGGTGAAAATATAATCTGTCCCTTCTCTTTGTGTAAAACGTTTAGCTACAATTATTGCCTTACATATTTTATTGTCTTGACTTTTTATTGCCTTCGCTGTAGACCAATTTGCAACCAACAAGTTTACAGTCAGTAGGCTTTTCAACTGGATTCCACATTTAATTTTTATATAATAAAATCATTTCATCTTGCACTATAGCAACCCATCTAATCAACTCTTTACACGATACAAGCTATGCAGATACATAATATGCATATTGGAATCTAGAAGAAGGTCTTATCTGGTCTCTTTCCCTATCCCTGACAAGCTGGTAATCCTTTATGTGAAGGATCTAAAACTTGATTATCATTTAGATTTTCATCATCATTAATTGTTTGAGGTCGCTTCACCTCAACCTAAGTTTGATTACTATTAATTTGTTCATTAAAATCAACCAAGTTATAACAAAATATTTTTTAGCTAATTCCTCTCTATTTTTCACTAAGACAAGGGAAGTTTGTCTCATAAAAAATGACAGATCTACTTATCATCACTTTATAACCTCTTTGTTCTTTTATTAACAATCTGTACCTTTTAACACCTTCTCGTTAACCAAAAAAACAAATTTCTTGGGTTTGGGTTCCAATTTAGAATCAATTTGGTGTGCCTTCAAACCAACCCCGTCCGATAAGGTGTCCTGCCCCGTTAAGCCCGCCTTTTATTTGAGCATAAGGTACACAACGAAAAGTTTTGAGATGAGAATAATCAGGCATTAATTGTGACCATATCTTTTCAAATACCTTCTAATCTATGGAGCTAGTGGGACATCTATTCATTAGATAAACAAGCAATCTTCACAACTTTTCCTAAAATCTTTTTTAGCAAATCAAAACTAATTAATATGCATCTAGTTCACTCAAGGATGGTCCTATTCATCCTCATAGCATTTTGCTGAGTGGCATATGTCACAATCACGTACCTTAATATGCCATGTTTGTTGTAATACCAATCAAATTTAGTATTGCAGAATTTAATCCCATTATTAGCCCTTAAATTTTTATCTTCTTCTTAGTTTGACTCTCTAAAGATCATCAAACAAATTTTAGTAGAAAAATTCACACTTTCCTAGAGTAATCATCTATGATAAGTAAACAATATCTATAGCCAAATGCTATAGATACAGAAGCAGGTCCGCACAAGTCACTATGTATGTACTCAAATACATTTATTGACTTATGGATGCCTATTTTGAATGAATACATGTTTTGTTTTCCCAAAATACAATGTTAATAGAAAGTTGGTTTCTGAACATTATCTTTTTCCCAAGACCCCTTCCTTTGAAGGAAATTTTAAGCATTTTTCACCAAGATTACCTATTCTTTAATGCCATTAATCCAATCTATTAGACTGCATCAATAAGTTTACGTCATTGTTGAATAGATTCAAAATCCATTATATAGATTCCATAAGATTTGGGTGCACTGACAATAAGGTTCTGCTTTCTAGATATAATTGTATAGCTATTCTTAATCTCAATTTGATAAAATTCATCATCCAAAACCCTCAAGGAAGTGAGATTTCTTCTAAGTACTGGAACATACATGTTATGCTATAGCAACATCAACAAACCATTTTTCCGTTTCAAGGCAATGTTGCCCATACCTTTTACTTGGCAAGACTCATTGTTTCATAATTAACTTTGCAAAACCTCCATCAAATCTAGAGAAATCAGAAAATCAACTAATATTAGGACTTATAGGAAAAGAGCAGTCTGAACCAAGAAACCCATCTTGATCAACCTTTTCAGAAGAGGACACATAAGCCATCACAATATTGACTTCTATTTTATTTTATTATTTTTTTTTTTTTGTAGGAAGCAGCAATACGAGCCATTTTCATGATTAGATTCATTTCATTGATCATTTGCCTTCTTAAAATGGTCTTTTATAAAATGAACTATTTTTTACAATAATATCACTTCTTATTCTTTGCATTTCCCTTATAAAATTTCTTGTCTTCTCTTTTACAATTCCACCATTTCTTCATACTGGAACTCTAATTTATGTATATAATTGGCTTGACTTAAACTACTCAACCCATAGGTTGAAATTTTTTAGATGATGAATAATCAACATGAAGGGGTTCACTATGTTCTGATTTTAATTCCAATTCCTTGTTCTTTAATGAACTATGAATGATATCAACAATCATGTCATCCCTATCATATTCTAATGCATTCTTTATGCCTTTATATTTTTCACCAAGAGAATTAAGTAGGCCAACTACCTTTTCATAGTTAGAGATATTCTTTCAATCGCGCTATGTGTACATTCCTCTTGACCACTCGGTTGACAGTGCTGACATGGCATTTAACAAATGCTCATTTAAAAAACTAGAAAGGGAGAAGTTATAAAAATCGGTCCATTCATTTCAACTTCAAATAGAGTAAATCGGATGAAAGGACTTTCCCCAAATTAAGCAAGCAAACCCTCTTGGAGAGCGATTTCTCCTGCGGCGGAGCCATTTGTTAATCGTTCGCGTGTATTGAACTTCTTCAACGTCGATGCCTTCATCTTCGACGAGATCTGTTGCAAATTGTTGGTAAGTTGTTTGTTTTGCTAAGTTGAGAGAGGATTGAAGTAGAAAAAATATGGAAGAACAATGAAGAGAAAATGTTACCATTGTGTTGGTGGTGTAGAAAATCAATATTGGAGGGTTTCATTTGTGAAGGGTAATGGTATGTCGAATCTGAAAATGAGCTTCAGCTTTGTTGGTTTCATTGGTTAATTTTCTCTTATTGGTAAGTTATTATTATTATTATTTTTTTGCAAAACGCCATTATGTTAACAGAGTTGAGAGCGATTGAAGAAGTAGAATGATATGGAAGAACAATGAATTGAAAATGTTACCACTATATTGGTGGTGTATAAAATCAATGTTGGTGGGTTTCGTTTGTGAAGGGTAATGGTACGTTGAATCTGAAAATGACCTTCAAATTTTTTTTGGTTAATTTTTTCTTATTGGAAATGGGGCTTGTTCATGTGAAAATGAGCTTCAAAAGATGATTGCTTCATTTGAAGTTCAGAAAATACGGTGATTAGCGTCATTCACTCTTCAAGAGTCTGAGTCGACTGTTGCTCATCCTCATATGTTACGAACTGGGAACAATTAACATTTTTGAATTTTACTGCAAAATCATGTAACGTAACTGCATTCTTACCTTCATTTGTTTTACTACATATGCAATTTTGTTGCTAATTTTCTAGTTGATCCCCATCTAAGAATGGAAGGAAAGAATCGTGGCATATGCCACAGTTGTAGGTCTATGAGCACTTGTTTATAGATTGCCCAAACAAGCGAGAATGTACGTGGTGTCAACATGTATTTGTTAAGTGCTTTGAGGTGGAGAAGGCGCCGAAGAACAAAGGTAAGTTGCTCAAATGTTGTGAAACTAACTATGGATACTCAAAGTGGCTTGGGGACGGTGAATCCAGCGGCAACTCAAGGACGAGTACAGTTAAGGCGACTACTCCTACGATGAAGAACGCAATCCAAGACATATCTGGCATGTTGGAATCTCTACTTTAGTTAAACGATGAACAAGAAATGAATATTTCTTTGAATCTTACAATCTGCAAAGGTAAAGCAAGCAGCAAAGGGGATGAGAAAGGAAAGGAAAGAGCCGGACTTGATTATAATGTATAAATCGAGCTTGTTGTGTAACTTATGCTAGTATGTGGATTGTGCAAGTTGTATTTTGATGCTATGTACGCTGTGGTCTATAAATGTACCCCTTGTTTTATTAAACTTGTTGTTCCATACATACTCATTGTTCACAAATAACATATATAGACATGATGCTTAAATGAGATGATATGAGCGACTATGGAATACAGTAACTAACATATAACAAGAGGAGTTTGAAATTCATTACATTATGTATAACAACTTTAGCAAAACAAGTGGCATCTAATAAGAGAATGAAATCATCCAAAACTCATCATCTGTAGCCATTCATCTTCATCCCAACCTCATTAAGTTATCCAGTCAAACATTTTCGTTTGGTCTCTTTCATTTCAATACATTCAAATGTGCCTGCAAGATTGATGAACAACTGAGAATATTCCAAATATCAAAATGTTTCATTTAAGACAACAAGCCTAAACATACCTTTCCTTTAGTCGATTCCAATGCGCTCTTCTTTTGAAGTTTTTTGGTGCACCTTTTCTCTTCGAACAGGTAGGGTCCTGTATGTTGTCGTTACCTAGAGTCTATGCTGATCTACAATCAACCACTACTTGAACAACACGCAAGGATAGGACATTGCTTCTACCACTCGACCTCATAGTCATAAAGGTGGTTGTTTTCTTTTCAGTCCACTCCATTATTGAACGGGTTTTCCCATCGTCATCTACGGTAATGTTTGCGAGTGTAGCAAACGATTTGTACATTCTATCATAAGTCAACTGTGCAGTGTACTAACTAACCCATCGTAATGCACTGCAACCCTCATATAGGCTCTACTCACATCTCTTCACCATCTACATAATATATACTATCTGGCAATATCATTACATTATTATGGAATAAGACTGATATAGCATGTCTGCAAATAATTCCTCGAAATTCGAACAAGTGATAGCTGCACACTACGTCAGATGTATCTCTCTGGAATGTGATGTAAAATGTCTTTTTCATAATGTACTTGCCATTTTTTACATGCTCCCACACTTCGTATACAGTCCCCGAACATTGTTCTGAAGTAGAAATAAGATCACAGTATACCTTCACAATGAACTCTTGCTAAACTTCCCTGAATTTTGAAATTGTATAAACTGCCTGAAATTGCTTCTCTATCTTGTAAGTCGTTGCAAAAGGTACAATTTGTGAGTATGATTTGAAATTTGCTTGAAACTCTTTCTTTGCCTTACTTCTCAATGCTCGCTTGTACTGTTCCACAAATTGCTTGAGCACTGTCTCTGGATGCACATACCTATCAAGAATGAATTCATCCTCTCGCTACGTTGAGTTGTTGGCATTCCTGCCCAAAAACTTGTTTTCAAATAACAAGGAACCCAACGGTTCTGTTTGCATACAAATCGAACAACCAATCATTCTCATGCAAGTTGTATGTATCAATCATCGTCATCCAACTTTCTTCAAATTGTTCAATAGTTTGAAAATCATAAACCAATATGTATATAGCAGAGAATATAGAACCTTTATCAATATGGTATCTAAACTTCTCAAGTAACTTCTTCAATATGTGTCACAAGCACCATCTATGTTTTGTGTTTGGAAACACGATCTGAATTGCGTTCTACATGGCCCTATGTTGATATATAATTATCCAAAAAAGTACTTAGCCCTGCATGCATTGTAGCCATGTCTTGAAAAGCCATACAAAAGTCTCTGTATTTTCATTTGAAACCAAACTACAACCAAGCAATGTCGATTGTCCATAATGATTCGCTCCAACAAAAGGGGCAAATGGCATATCATACTTTTTGTAAGGTACATGGTGACAAAGTGACAACATCGCCAAACTCCTTATATGCTTGCCTACACATGTTATCTACCCAAAAAAAATCTTCAGACATGACCCGTCGTCCAAATCCATGCTAAAGTAGAAACTTGAGCATCTTTCTTGCATACTTGAAAAGTAGGACTGTATCACTGTGGTATCTCCTTTTCCAAGTTTTAAACACCTCACTTTTTCCACATAGTTTCGACAATCTTTTTCTATGCATGTCATATTCTTGTACTCACCTGCTTTAACGACTACAGATTGTAACTTTTGTGCAAAGGGATTCTTGCCGTATCACTCACTTCAAGCCACCGTTTAATATGTGCACTCAAATCTCGATTACAGTGATGCAACCTAGATTTTGAAAGACTTGTTTTATGATTGTGTTCAAGATAAACTGTGTTAACTCTCCATATTCCACACATATCTGAAGACACCGTTAGCCTGGCCTTGCAACCTGTCTGAATGGTTGGTTGCGGTTTTGAAGAAACACTTGTATTAGAAATTCTTCGGCCTTCGTGACTACAAGTCAATGTCATGTATCTCACAAACCTATATTCATCCTTTTTTGAATTCATTTTTCGAATCGGGAATCCTACATCATAAGCATATCGTTTACGGAAATCAAACAATTCTTTTTCATCCGTGAACTTAATACCCACCTCTGGCACCATCGCCGCACCATCCATGCCTACAACTTCATCATCCATCATATTCAATTTGTCCATAAAGTTCCCATTATCAAATTCGATCAAAATTTCATCATCAACCACTTCAATAATTAGTTTCTCTGCAATAAAGAAAAAAAAAACAGTTACTAGGTGACCAATTTATATTCGCACAAGCTCATTTCAAATTGAACAATGAGGTGGAATCATTAATTGACTAAACATTTTAGTCATTGTCCAAGAATTTTGGGGTTTTGAGCTAGTAGTAAGCTGACATTATAGCTTCTTAGTTTCATAATATTAAAACTTCTTAGGTTAAACTTGCTACTGATTTCAAGATTTCAACAATTTCAACTTCCAAAGCTTCGTTTGTTGACAAATTCAATTTACACAATTTTATAAATCGAAAATACCTCTGTCTAACATTTTTACACTTGAATGAATATGGGTCAGCTTCTTTGTTGTTTCGGGACAAGTGTAGGTCAGCTTTTTTCTCGTCTCTCCGAGTCTCACAAACAAAATGAACTCATGGTTTGGGTGGAACCCCCAGGAGTTCGAGCATACTATGAGCGTGTCCTTCATGTTGAACGTACAGTGGGCTACCTTCTTGTCGGCGATGGTCGATGCGCGGGATTTCTAGGGCACGCTAGTTGGAATTGAAGTGAAATGGTTTTTACCCGGGCCAATTTGAAACAATAGCTAAAAACCCGGTTTCTTTTTTTGGCATTTGTAGACTGTGCTTACTGGTTTTTATGGTTTTCAAATTGCTTGCCACATCAGCCACTGTGGGCCTTCTATCAAACTGGTGGTAGGTCTTAATGTACAAGAAGCTTAATACATATTCTTTTTACCATAGTTCATGAGATCTTGTGTGAACTTATAAAAAATTATCGATGTTTTCTTCTAAGTCTATAATAGGATCAAATTTGTGACTAAAGAATTGTTTCTATTAAACTTCTTGTTCCATACATACTCATTGTTCACAAATATCATATATAGACATGATGCTTAAATGAGATGATATGAGCGACTATGGAATACAGTAACTAACATATAACAAGAGGAGTTTGAAATCCATAAGAAGCACTTTCAATAGCAATCTTATTTTTTTCTACTTCAGAATCATATAGATGGAGAAACATAGTGCTCCAAGCCAACATATCTTGTTAAGTTTTCCTTTTAGCCGCAAGCTTTTTCTAAATAAGATTCATCAATGGCTTTAACAGAATATGAGTTTTAAATTTATAACCTAACTTTAATCAATAACAGCTATCACACAACAACAGACTATGACTTTTAAGAAAAATATGCAATAGATCACATATGGATATCATTGGACTAACCTTACTTCCCTTAAATTTTCATTACATTATGTATAACAACTTTAGCAAAACAAGTGGCATCTAATAAGAGAATGAAATCATCCAAAACTCATCATCTGTAGCCATTCATCTTCATCCCAACCTCATTAAGTTATCCAGTCAAACATTTTCGTTTGGTCTCTTTCATTTCAATACATTCAAATGTGCCTGCAAGATTGATGAACAAATGAGAATATTCCAAATATCAAAATGTTTCATTTAAGACAACAAGCCTAAACATACCTTTCCTTTAGTCGATTCCAATGCGCTCTTCTTTTGAAGTTTTTTGGTGCACCTTTTCTCTTCGAACAGGTAGGGTCCTGTATGTTGTCGTTACCTAGAGTCTATGCTGATCTACAATCAACCACTACTTGAACAACACGCAAAGATAGGACATTGCTTCTACCACTCGACCTCATAGTCATAAAGGTGGTTGTTTTCTTTTCAGTCCACTCCATTATTGAACGGGTTTTCCCATCGTCATCTACGGTAATGTTTGCGAGTGTAGCAAACGATTTGTACATTCTATCATAAGTCAACTGTGCAGTGTACTAACTAACCCATCGTAATGCACTGCAACCCTCATATAGGCTCTACTCACATCTCTTCACCATCTACGTAATATATACTATCTGGCAATATCATTACATTATTATGGAATAAGACTGATATAGCATGTCTGCAAATAATTCCTCGAAATTCGAACAAGTGATAGCTGCACACTACGTCAGATGTATCTCTCTGGAATGTGATGTAAAATGTCTTTTTCATAATGTACTTGCCATTTTTTACATGCTCCCACACTTCGTATACAGTCCCCGAACATTGTTCTGAAGTAGAAATAAGATCACAGTATACCTTCACAATGAACTCTTGCTAAACTTCCCTGAATTTTGAAATTGTATAAACTGCCTGAAATTGCTTCTCTATCTTGTAAGTCGTTGCAAAAGGTACAATTTGTGAGTATGATTTGAAATTTGCTTGAAACTCTTTCTTTGCCTTACTTCTCAATGCTCGCTTGTACTGTTCCACAAATTGCTTGAGCACTGTCTCTGGATGCACATACCTATCAAGAATGAATTCATCCTCTCGCTACGTTGAGTTGTTGGCATTCCTGCCCAAAAACTTGTTTTCAAATAACAAGGAACCCAACGGTTCTGTTTGCATACAAATCGAACAACCAATCATTCTCATGCAAGTTGTATGTATCAATCATCGTCATCCAACTTTCTTCAAATTGTTCAATAGTTTGAAAATCATAAACCAA